CGGCCGCCGGCGGCGGGGGCGCCCTCCGCGGCGGTCAGAGGGCAGAGGGCAGGTTTCCCCCCCTCCCCGCCGCCTCCCTCCCCCTCCCCGCCGTGCCGGGGCCGGTCACCCGGGGCAGCCGCCGCTGAGTCCCCCTCTCCCGGCGGTCCTGCCCGAGGACAGGGCGGGGAGAGGCCGGGGTCCCCCCGGGGCTGCGGGAGCGCCGGGCCCTCGGGGTCCCCTCCCGCCAGAGATCCCCGTCTCGTCAGTTCATCGCTGTTTGTGTTTCTAGAGGGGAGAGGGAGCTCTGCTGGGGCTGTGGGCAGGAGGGAGCTTACACAGACATCATCGTTAACTAGCGTTACACGAAGATAATTGTATATATATTAATGTTTAATTATTAATATAACAGCAGTGATACTATTACTATTATTATATAATAATTATATTTAGCAAGGGAAAGAAGCGCCCTTAAATTCCGCGGGCAGGAAGGGAGGCGCGGGGTTTGTGGCCGTCCACGCGTGACCCGGAGGAAGCCCGCGGTCGGGCCGTCCTGCTGCGAGCCGCTTTGGGAACGTCTTTATTTTCTACCCCATCCACCTGCCCTGGCAATTCAGTTGGATTTAAATGAGAAAGCGGAAATAATTGTCAGATGTTTCGAGAACACTTAATTTTGTGGATGGTACACCTGGAGGCTACGCGTGTATGCGTGCGCGTACATGCGCACCTGTAAGCAGAGTCACAGGTATTAACTTTGCTTCTACAAAAAAAGAAGAGAAACCCGCACACAATTAGGGTTGCAAGGCTCCGTATCCCACCCCAAACCCCATAACAAGCGGCGAAATCAGCAGCCAAGTCAGATAATACTTCATCCACCACCCCTCACTCACGAGTCCCCAGTCCACGGCTCACGGGTTAGTAAGCAAGAAAAAGCTCAGGAGACCTCCTCGTACTGCTGAGACCTACAGGAAATTAAAAAGTTAAAGCTGAAAGCCATTAGGGAGAGTAAAGTATGATGCTGCCCGCAACACTGAATGCTGAGCGAGTTATTGTCCAGGGTCAGAAAAGGTTGGGGATCACCGGTGTACACGTAGTCATTAGTCTGAGTCCCAGCTCATGTCATCTCTGCACACAATTTAAATAACTATTTAAATGACCCCTAAGTTTTGACTGGGAACGATATTTGTCTGCGTGCTGTGATAAAATTAACACGGTGCTGGCACTTCTTTCCTCTTCCACACTGTATCTGATTTTTGTTGCTGTTGGAAAATAGATGGTCCAGTTGGAAATTATAACTTCAGAACATGTCTTGGGATCATATTTAGACAAAAGCGTGTAAATGGATTATCTAGGGTAATAATTTCTTAAAGAGTTACAAATGCTATGATTATCTGCCTTGGTTTGTATTGGTGAGATACTAACGGTCAAATTAAGGCTGCACATCAACTCTTTGGGATAAATCGCCATCCCCCTCACCTGAAAAATCACTGCCCCTCCTCTCCAGCTGCCAGCGTCCCACATCCTGAGGTATTTTTCCCCAATGTTTTGCAATGAGTTGTCAACGAAGCTCCCAGCGTGAACTGCTGTGCCTGGGGAAGGAGTAGCAGCGTTTCAGGCTGGAAGAGCCAGGAAGGATTATGGTGACAGTGTTCTGCAGGAGACTTAGGCCATGGGGGAAAGCCACGGGGTTCTTGTTGGAAACAGGGAGACATATGTACATCACATTATTTCTTAAATGAATTTTACCACATATAAATTCTGTTTTAATAGAATATTCTTCATTGCATTAAATCGAAACCAAGCACGATGCACTCGTCAAATCAAAACAAGAAATGAATTTGAGGTAGGCAGAATGTATTTATTTAATCAGAGTTTAAGTCAAACATCATGTCTTGCATGCTGTGTCTTAGGAAAAGTTTTATGGGTTCTTACAACAGGCAGGATTTGTGCTTTTTCCTCATCTTTTATTGGTATTCTATCATTTCTTATTATTGTCTCTTTCTAAATGGCGTCTGACTGGAATACATATGCATGCAGCTGGGCAGGGGAAGGTGGAAGAACTTTTGTACCTCCGCATGCAATATACCAACATAAAACCCGATCTGCCTTTCCTGCTTTCAAAAGCAAGCAGATTATTAGTCCTCTACTCCTTATGCGCAATCTGGCACGTGAGAAGAGGAGAGTGGAGCCTTTCTCCCTTTCTCGTGTCCCTCCTCTCCGCTCAGCTGGTGGAGCAGGCATCGGGGAGATGCCCTCTCAACTCCCCCACCCCTGAGCTTGAAGTGAATTCTGCTCAAAGGTGCACCAGATATATTTTATTCCCTCTTATACCCCTCTAGGGTCAAGTTGCAATCCGGCCTTTTGATTTCGTTCTCTTTGGAATAGGGACATTGGCGTTTCCTTGAATGTAACGTGCGATATAAATGACAAAACATCTCAGAAAAATAATGATATCTCCAGCAACACAGTGTCCCCTGGCACTATGTTAGAGCGTTAATCCAGAAACAACTCAGATTCCTGCTTACTAAACCATCGCCACCGCTCAGTGGCTGCACGCGCTGTAGGTTTTGCTCATCGCTCCTCGTGATTTAGTGACTATTATATTAGAAAATCCATTTTGTTTTCTATGCACCATTTTGGTTACGAGACCATACTGTTCTTTTGCTTTTCCTCCCCATGTTAAGACCAAGCACGGTGGATGCAGGACAAACAGTGTGGGAATATCAGTGGTCATTAATATTAAATACTTTGCCTTAGCAGTACAGTGGGAATGCTAATGAGGATGACTAAGCTTTGAGAAACCATTTTTTCTGCCTGAATTTGGAGTGGGCACTAAGGAAACAACAGTTCACGTGGAGAAGGATACTGTGAAGCTGTCAGAAGTGACGGACAAATTCTGTTTTCATTGTCCCTTCGCTGATTAGAATAAGCAGACAAAAATAGATACAAGAGAAGGAAAGTCTAGGGACTCTGCAAGAGATAATTAAACCTCAAATGTCTCCTGGGTAAAGGGTGGAATTTTTCTTAGATTGGGTTTTGGCAAGATACGCAATTCATGCTTTCTCTGTGAAAAGGACTTATGGCTTTTTATGGATCAAGGTCACCATATTCTTTCTTCTAGCTAGCTCACATCATCAAAATGCTCCTTAATCCCAGAATTTTATTTATTTTGAGGGGTTTATTTAGGAAGGAATAGCTAAGTGGACTAACAACGTGAGAGAAGAGAGGGGCGTTATCTACAGGGAGAGGTTTTGGAGCAGCCACCAGGAGCATAGCACAGATAGCGCAAATCAGAAATGTAGAAACAGTTTTCCGAGGCCAGATGTTCCTGCTTTGGTGGCTTTTTCTTCAGCAGCAAGAATTCTGGGCTTGCTTTTCTCAGCTGTCTTTCTCCAACAGGTGGTGGGAGGACAGGGAAAAGGGACAAGGCAGAGAACGATACAGGAGCTACCATCCTCGGGGAGAAATCCTTTTTACCACAATGTAGTACTCAAGGGAGCTGCTTTTGCGTGCAAGCTCCAAACGTAACATTTTGAGCTCAAAATCCTCTAAAAGAAACAAAAGCAAGGACTGGAAAATTCGTGATAGAACATCCTCAGAGCGAGTGGACTTGGCCAGAAAACACGATACTGTGATGAGACTGACTTTAAAAAATGATTGTTTATCACAAAACTACAGTGGATATCTATGGTGTATTTAATACGGAACCTTAATCCTCGTGTGTGCCATCTATCTCTATTACACGTTCTTCCAGGCATTTCTGGCCCAGGAGAGCTACGTTGTTTTTTAAAGAGGGAATTTTGAGAATTACGGTGGATTTTTTTCAGTCTCAGTAATTTGAAATACCCTCTCAATTCTCCCTCCTGAGCCAACGGTACATCTGATTAAACATCAGGCTTGATATTCTGGCTGCCCTTGCAAAAGAAAATGCAAGAAATTCTTTTTGCTTCTGCTGCTGAGACAGTTCCATCTTCTGCTTCTCATTTCCAGTTGCGTACTTGCTAAAGAGGATCAGAGCAGTAGTGCTTGCAGTGGGAAACTGTAGCAGATAACTTGGCAATTTAATTTCTCCCCGATTTCTGTTTATGAAGTAGGAAGCGTTTTGTTATTTTTTTATGAAAACGCTATCTCTTCTTTGAAATTATTTGCTGAATAATTCTTTGTTGGCAGATCTCGGGTGATGTGTTTGTTTTGAACAACAGTAGTTGTGAGGCACAAGCCGGTTTTGTCTAGACATGTAACGAGCTTCTGCTTTCTGCCTAGCTGACTCCAACTTCCAGTAGCTGTTGCAACTGTCCAGATTGCACATTTTATGGAGAGACTATGCAAATTTTGAGACTGAACATTGTTGTCTGTTAACTTTATCTTAGCTGTCGTTATTTTTTCAATTAGTGACTTCTTCAGGAATTCACTAGAAATAATTGATTGCAGAAATCAAATAGCTGGGCTCAAACCCACCACTGTGGCTTGGAAAGTTTTTCCTCAAGCTACTGTTTTTGTCTGCTCTCTTGGTTTGAGAAGAATTCATTAAGTGGAAGTATTTTGACGTAAATATTAAGAGCTAGGTGAATATTCATCACGTTTCTGTCCTGAACCCAAATTTTACACCCCCAAGCGTTCATGGTTTTCTGAGGCTGGGTGAGTTAGGCACTGTCCTGCTCTCCATGCTCTCTTTTCACATTCACTCTTACGGAACATCTCCTCAGAAGTACGATCTCATCCTCCAGCT